TCTTGGGATTCTTCTCCTTCCTGTATGCCTATGATTCGTAAGTTTGGTCTTTTTATGGTGTCAAACAATTCCTGCATATTCCATTCTTGTGATTTGTTAAATTTTTCATAATCTTTGCTTGAGTGGTCTGGTTCATCCACTTTATCTTCCAGTCTTGATACTCTGTTTTCCATTTCGTTCATCCTATCGTTGAGGCTTTCTCCTGCCATTTCTAATTGGATTACTGAGATTCCTTCTTCATTTCAGCCTGAGTATTCTTCAATATTTCTAACTCTTTTCTGAATTCATTCAGAAGTTTACCCCTATCTTCCTTCAGTTCTCTGATTATTTTGTTTTTGTGTTCTTTAAATTCACTGACTTCTTTTATCATGTTTATAACTGTTCTTTTGAGTTCCATGTCCTGCATTATCTCTAGAGGTTCTCATTGTACTCCTCTAGAGGACTATTGGTATTTGGTGGGGATATGGTATTTTGGTTTTTTATGTTATTATTTTTGCTCTGTGACTTTGACATATGAATTTCTTTTGTAGTTTCTGATTCTTGTGTGAGAATCAAACCTTCAAGTTTAGGTCTGCTTCTTTTTGTGAACTTTATATGTCTTTGGGGTTTACTTTTTCGACATGAAAAGCTGGTTCCTCTAAGCTTCTGGTTCTCTCTTTTGATTCCATATTGGAGTAGCCAGATTGCTTTTTCTTCAGGAGTTCCCAGAGGCCCAAGTTAGATGAGGATCAGATCCTCTTAGGCTTTTTCCTAAGGTCTGGATCCCTCCAGGAAAGATTCGGGTCTCAGGAATTTGGGGGTTGGACTGGCCTGGGAGCCTGGCCCAGGAAAGATGCTGGTCTAGAGCAGCTGGTGGCTATGCCACCCAGAGATGCAAAGGAAGATGGGGGCGGGAAGCGGCCTCAAGAGTTCCTGAGGACTGCACTGAGGAGCTGGGTTGGTCTGGATGCAAAGAATCAGGAAGAGGAAAGGTCAGCCCAGGCACCCAGAAAAGAGGCTGGCGGGTTGTGCAGACCCAGGGAAGTAGAGGGAGGTGAGGGCAGGGCCAGGCCCAGAGTGTTCCTGGGCATCCGAGAAGGAACTTAGTTGATCTGGGTGCAAAGAATCAGGAAGCAGTGATGGTTCCCCAGGTGTCTGGGGCACCAAGACAAGGAATGAGACAGGACCCAGGCTAGGAGGAGAGACCGGCAGGGGAGACAGGAGACGGGAGGATGAATGAGGCTGGGGGAGTCAAGGCGTGGAGGGGGTGATCTACCTATCCCGGAGAGTGACGCCTGCGGGTTGTGCAGGCCCAGGGAAGCAGAGTACAGAGTATATTTTTTAAAATATACATATCTGTTATGATATTATAAATATATATGCATATATATAATTGTTTTTAAAAGTGCTGGGCTTGGTGGTACATACCTTTAATCCCAACATTTGGAGGCAGAGGCAGGCAGATCTCTTGTGAGTTCAAGGCCAGCCTGGTCTATACAGTGAGTTCTAGGCCACCCAGGGCTATAGGATAATACCCAATCTTTAAAAATAAAATAAAATAAAAGGGTGTTACTAAGAGGACTGAATGGGTTTCCAATTAGATACCTACCTAAGACAGGATCTAAAGTGTGTCTTGTCCCTTCTCTAGCTTCCTCTCCAACTCGAGATGTTCTTGGGAGGCAGATGCTGACCGGTTCTGCCTCCAAGGCCACTGAGTCAGGTGCTGCAGCACTAGCTTGCTCTGGGATGGATTTTGCAATGGCAAGGAACAGCTGAACATCATTGTAGGAGAGTCTGATATCCAGGGCTTGTAGGTGAATCTAATGAAATGTAAAAGGCAGTAATTTTGAGAAGTTGCCTTTGGTTTTGCAACCACACCTCACACAGACATAATTCCTATTATACATTCTAAGAGTCCAGACACCACAACAAACTTTTCATTTGAAAAGAAAAGATCGATCTTGAAACTGAGCAAAGAACCATGAGGTAATCTCTCTCACTGTCAGGTGATATGGACAAAAAACTCTATGAAATAAGAAATACTAAACTAGCCAGGCATGGTGGCATATGCCTTTAATCCCAGCACTTGGGAGGCAGAGGCAGGTGTATCTCTCTTTGAAGCCAGCCTGGTCTACATAATGAGCTCTAGGCCAGCTGGGCTACAAGGAGACCCTGTCTCAAAAAGACCAAAAAAAAAAAACAAACCTAAACTAGAATAACTATTAGAGCACTTAACACCACAGGGGGTTAGGAAATGGCTGGGAAGAGGACCATCTATTGCTAGGTAACATTTGTTAACTCATTTCACACAGATCTATTTCATTATTTAAATCTCTGAAGCAAACTGACCAAATGATGATGGTTAGCCCACTTGATAGAACTTAGAATCATCTAGGAAGAGAAAGTAGAAAAATCAAGCTAAGTTCAAGTAAGCACATGTTCAGTCTCTCTGTGGATGTGCTGTGACCAGCTGTTGAAGTTCCTGTCTTGACATCCCCACAATGATGGGCTGTGACCTGGAGCTGCGAGCTGAAGCAAACCCTTCTCCCCTAAGCTGCTGCATGTCAGGGTGTTTATCACAGAACAGAAATATAACTAAGACACCAAAATTTTGATCTTTCTGCCCCCTAGACCTGTAATACCAGCACTGGGTGTGGTGGTGGTGGGGGGGGATTGGGAGTTATACATCAGCCACAGTTACCTGAAAATTTATCTAAAATTAAAATAATAAAATGAAATAAAAACGAATATTTTCTTTCAAACAAAACTTTACATTAGTCAAGGCTGGCACTACCATTTCCTGAAATCTCCTGTTCCTCAGATCCACTGGTGAGGACAGCACAGGTCCTGTGAGGAGGTGACTCTGGACAAAGTGTGAAATGTCTGTGAAAGAGGCTTTATTCACTCAACTTTTTCTCTGGGCTGCTGCTGAGACTACAAGGCAACATGGCTTTTCTCTATCGGTCTCCCCATCCAAATGAGCTGGTTAATTACTGCTCTATTACCAAAGAAACAGAACACCAAATCCCTCGCCTTGCTTGCCTGGCTTCAGCTTTGGTCCTCACTTCCTGGTCCCAGTCAACTCTCTGTCATCCCTTCCACCTGCCAGCTCATACCCCTGCCTCCCTCCTCATTCCCTGACCCTGCACTCTACCCACAAGGAATAGTCCCTCCTATATTGAGTTCTGCTTTTTGTAAACATCTACAAAATGATGCTGGCCACGTCATCAACATCTCAAGATGATGCTAGCCACCAAAAAGATCTTTTATCCTTTTCAACACTGCAAGCACCTAGCTGGCATTATATTTATTTTGTGTTTGCTGAAGTAAGCATGCTGGACTCAAGGGGCAGGAGAGCCTATTCAGAGTAGTGAGGGTGTGCAGGTGTGCCAGAGACTATTCAGAATTACCTCTAGGATAGGAGGAAAGTCTTCACTGTTGAATGCATCCATCAACCCAGAACTATTCTGGTAAGAAGAATTTCCCACCAGCTCCACTTGAATTTGAACTGGATCGATAATTGAAAGAGCTGTGTCCTGCTCATTCCCTAGTCGGCATGAAAACACCTGAAAAGGACACAGAATGCAGTGAGGGTCACTGACTTGGGGGACTCTGCCAGCCATCAAGACAAACAGACTACCTTGGGAGCAGTCAGCCCCACATCTTTTCAGGACCCAGAACAACTGTTGAAATAAGCACTACCAAGACCAGGGCTGCCATTACCACCTACTGCCAAGAGCATGAGCAGTCTTCAACTTGAAGGAAAGCAGCTGCAATTCATTCCCAAAGGCTTAAAGAGTTCACATTCTTTGACCCAATGGTCCCATCTCTCTCTAGGAACTAGCCTAAGGAAATACTGCAAAATATAGAAACTTTCACTCAACTACTTTTTAATAGTTAAATAAGAAAAAAATACGAGCAACCAAGATCACACCATATCTATTCCACGAAGCATTCTGCAGTCATTTCAAAATGGTAGGTGAAAGTCAGCACAGTGAGACACACCTTTAATCCCAGCACTCTGGAGGCAGAGGCAGAGGCAGAAGGATCTCTGTGAGTTCAAGGCCAGCCTGATCTACAATAGTGAGTTCTAGGCCATCCAGGGTGTAGAACCCTGAGACCCTCTTCATTCACCCGCTACCCCCCAATCCCTCCAGACCCCCACTAATTGCTATTTTAGCTTCTGTAAAATGCTTGGCTGCTGCTTTAGACATGCCTAGACATGCCCTGACCCCTGCCTGCTATTCACCCCCTGCTTCCAGGAAACTATAGATTAAGCAAGTCCAGGGATGAAAACTGCCCTATAAGGTAAAAACAGAGACTCCTGGCCCCACAGGTAACAGTCAGCACATTCCACAGCCCTGAGAATAGCACCTACCAGTAAGAAACTTCCAGGGCTGCATCTTATACATCCAATCGGTTTAAAATTATGTTGGCGCGCGCAGGCTCCCTGAACCAACCAAAATGTATCTTCGGTATCTCCCCCCACACTTTTGTCTAAAACCTATAAAAGGCTCCACTCTCCTTTACTCTGGGCTCTCAGCATGGATCCGTTGAGTTGGTGAGGTCTGAGAGCCCGAGCTTAAGCCCGAATAAACCATAAACCTTTGCTTTTGCATTTTGGTGTGTTGGGTCCTCGGTGGTCTTTTTGGGGTCCAGTGGATGGGGTACAACAAGGGCAACATAGTAAAACCCTATTTCAAAAACGAAAACAAACAAACAAAAGGCAGCTAAAAAGTCAGGGCAGTGACACACACTTTAATCCCACTACTTGAAAGGCTGAGGTAAGAGATTGACAAGCTTTAGGGAAGCCTGGGATACACAGCAAATCCCTGCCTCCAAAAATCAGAAAGGGGGCTGGGGGGTGGGAAAAGAAGGAAAGGTGAGAAAAGGCAGCTACAAAGATCTTACAGAATGTAGGAAGACTGGTATACTACAGATTATGTACAAATTCAGTCCCATCAAAATATTACAAAGCTAGGATTGTAACTCATGCCTGGAATCCCAACGCTAAGGAAATTGAACCAGGAGACTTAAAAATTCAGATCAGTCTGGGCTACACAGTGAGAGATCCTGTTTCAAAATGAAAACAACAACAATAATAGTATCATTTTGACTTTACTTTAAAAAAACAGAAAGGAAGGAAAGGGCTAGAGAGATGGCTCAGCAGTTAAGAACTAATCTTTCAGAGGGCCCAGGCTTGAGTCCCAGAAACCAAATGGAAGCTAACAACTGTCTGTAACTCCGTAACTCCAGTTCCAGGGGATCTGACACCTTCTTCTTTTGCTCTCTTCTAGCACTGCATGACACGGGTGCACTTACATACATGCAGGTGCACAAAAGATAAAAATAATAAAATATTTTTTTTAAAAAAATAGAAAAGAAGGAAAAAGGGAGAGAGAGCAGGAGGGCACACCAAAGTGCCAACAGAAATTCTGTATGGGAGGCAGGGGCTGTTCTTTTTCCCCTCCTTTCAGAATTTCATAACTTAAAACACATTCACTACCGAATGAGCAGTACAAAGGAGTCCACGACACTAGACCACGCGCTCTGTACGTATGAATTATCCTACAATGCTAAGAATACACAAATATGCTTCAGGGCAGACAGAAAGAAGGAAGGGAGGGCTCCCATCCTGAGACCAGATCATCCTGTGTGCTCAGGCAGAGCACGGAGAGAGGGAAGGAGAGTACTCATGTGAAGCTGCTTGGCTCCCCACAAGCCTCTGCTCTCATGGGGCATTTTTTAGGGTTGGGGGAACAGTGCAATACCAAAGTCCTTCATCATATCCAAGAGTAACTTATTAACTTTATCAGTTCTCCCTAGTGATCTAGAACGGAGATCTGGTTATGCTGCCTAAAAAATTAGGCATCTCAAATATTTTACAACTTAGTTTTTCTAAGACATTGGACCAGGAAAGTTTCATTTTCCCTCTCTCCTTCAGGGGCTTCTGCTACAGGAAACCCAAGGATACCTGACCATTCTTTAACTAATCACAGCATTTCCAACTCAAAGCTGGCATTGTGGTGACCTAGAAAGCAGAGGAACTGCAATTTAAATTTCAAGATCAGCTGACATCAACTGAGAATGCAGCTCCTTGCTCTCGAATTGAGCTTTCTTTACCTTATAGAAACAAGTGGTCAAGGAAAGAAAGCCCCATATTTTACTCACCCACATTTGACCCCTAAAGAAGCTATATATAGCTTACAGTGAAAATGAATAAGACCAATGGAAATAACATGAAATTCAATCAGAAGGGGCTTGGGTCCTGACCACATGTTCCACTATATAGCAAGAGAATGTTCACTGACATCAGTGAGTTAAGAACATCTCACATACATCATCTGCCATGTTTACTCTATGGTGTCCACAACCTGAAACTTCACAGGTTTTGATGAATATTGCATGTGGTATTTCCAGGCTACAAAGGATGTCCAAATACAAATCATCTCCGTCATGGGGTCACATCACCATCAGGGACAAGGTCCTTCAGGTCACACAGGACTCTAGAGCAGCCCTTGTACAAATCAGATATCTCAGATGGATAACATATATAATCCTTTTCTCCTTTTTAAGCTGGCCTCCATTACCCCAAGGCTCTAGTTCTTCACAGGACAGCGCTCAGAGTGAGGGAGGGAAGTGCAAGACAGTCAGGACCACTGCCTCAACTATGCAAACTTGCTGTGTAGTTTTTCTAAGACTTTTCAGGAGGAGTGCTTTGTTTTCCTTTTGTCTTTAGGGACTTCTGTACCTGACTGTTCAGTAATCAATCACCAACCGGACCTCAATTCTATGACCTCCATGAGAGATCAATTACTAGGGGAGCGTTTATAAAGGAGACTATGGTAGGGGCCTTGTGGTGCATGGATTTCAGTAGCAGTAAAAGATATTCCCAAGGGCAGAGGCTTTGAGGAAGACAAGGGACGGCAAGTGAGACCTGCAGAACCAGAAGGCCCAATGAGACTCCAGTGAGAATGGACCCTAGAGTCTCCTGGACCTTCATGGGGAAAGGAGGGTGTATGCAGAAGAGGCCCTGTGTTCAGAGCCTCATGCTGGAGGACTGAACTTAGTGGAATAAGCTGGCAGATTTGAGAAAATAAGCAAAGACAGGAGGCAAAGGCCCTCCAACTGAATGAAATGTTTTCCTAATTAGAGTTCAGTAAGCAATGCTGGATATAGAGGCACAAGCTGTAATCCCAGGGACTCTGGAGACTAAGGCAGAAAGACCAAATGTTTAAGACTAGCCTAGGTAACTAAGAGAAACTGTCTAAATCAAAATAGGAACGAGCTACCAGGGACTCTGGAGACTAAGGCAGAAAGACCAAATGTTTAAGACTAGCCTAAGAGAAACTGTCTAAATCAAAATAGGAACAAGCTAGGCCGAGCATGGTGGTGCACACCTTTAATCCCAGCACTCAGGAGGCAGAGGCAGGTGGATCTCTGTGAGTTCAAGGCCAGCCTGGTCTACATAGTGAGTTCCAGGCCAGTTGGGGCTACAGGGAGATCCTGTCTCAAAGAGACCAAAAAAAAAAAAAGAAAAGAGCCGGGCTGGGCAGAGGATACAGTTCAGCAGTTCAGCTATTCAGCTATTCAGCTGGTGGACTGCTTGCCTAGCATGCTCAAGGTCCTGGGTTCAATCTGCAGCACCACAAAAAAAAAAAAATGTAGGTGTATGTATGGAGCAAGAGAGAGAGACTAATTCTCCAGTCCTGTCCCAGTTTGACATAGAAAGAAGCAGGTGGTAGCTTAACTTAGTGGTGGCAGTGCTTGCCTTCCCTGGGTTCCATTCCAAGCACTGGGAAAATAAGCACTCAGGAGGCAAATACTTTTCTAGATGCTTCTTTCTGGAGCCCAACATGCAGTGCTATGGTTAACAAACAAAGATCTTACCTCAATGCCAAACAAACTTCCTGAAAAGGGGCGATCGACAAAGCGAGGCTTATAGGTGAGTACTGTGGTGCCTTTCAGAATAATGGCGTTGGTATCACAGCAGGACACATCTTCAACAACCACAAACTCAGTGCCTGCAAAAGACAGCATCATCAGTCAACGCAGAGTGAGAACGCTGGCAAATACCAGGCTGTCACAACACAAGTGGCCAGTTGGAGACTTGCCCTCCAGGACTTCTCTCAACACCCTGCTTCACTATGATCCCAGACTCCAAATCTGGCCAGCACGGCTGAGCCAAGAGAATGGTGCCTGTCAGAAAGGACCAGCATGAAGCTTCTTTCTTTGGCATACATGTTCAAGACAGAGAAACTATACCCTGGTCACTGTGGGAGGCGCAACAGATACCCAGAAGTTAAGGGCCTCCCTTCTCCAAGGGATGGCCTCACTTCCAATCTCAGGAAAGAGAATCTGACGAAGATGCTGGTCAGGCAGCACAGGGCATTACAATAGCTTTTGCAGCTGTTCTCGCTGCCACGAAGAGCACAGGCCACTGCATCAAGCTGCTGGTATCAGCAGGTGTTGACAGCTTTCCACATATTTGTGTCTTGCAAAGTCACTCAGCTTCACACTGCATTTTCATGGAAAACTAGCCTAAAGCCAGGTGTGGTGGCTCACATCCATAATCCCAGCACTAGGGTGGAGGAGGCAGGAGGACTACTGTAAGTTCCAGGCCAGCCTGGGCTACGGAGTGAGATTTGTCTCAAAAAGAAAGAGAGAGAGGCATGGAGCAATCTTTTTACCTGAATCCATTTTAAATGCAGCTTAGCTATCTTCCTTTAAACCACCAAAGCTGGGCGTGGTGGTGCATGCCTTTTGTCCCTATACTAGAGGGGTGAAGACAGGAAAATCAGAAGTTCAAAGTCACCCTCAGCTACAGAATGAGTTCAAGGCCAGCTGGGACACATTAGACTGTCTCAAAAAAAAAAAAGATAGTGGGGAGTACAGAGAAATGAATCCTGTAAGACAAGCCTGAGCTAACATCCAAACTAACAATCAATGAAGCAACCTATAAACACTCACCTGTTACATTGACCTTTACCTCCAAGTGCCTTTCATTGGACACAGGGAGCGAAGACCGCTTGGTAACGACTCCACTCTTAACCGTTTTGGGAACAACATTGGATTCACTGCTAGAGTTGCGGTGGCGAGGAGGAGTGACATTTTGTTTCTTAGGATCACTGGGCGTGTGCAGAAAGTCATGGACCAACAGCAGCCAGTCAAATATGAGAAACACGCGGAGATTGTTGAGAACCACAGTGAAACAGGAAGAATCTTTCGTAGATCTACAAGAAAGACAGAAATAAATAAGATCATAGGAAAGGGAAAATGGTATGTCAGCCACCTGCCAATGTCACTCAGTTTTGGTCAGAACTGCTTTTCTCTTTTTCGTGATAGTGCCTCCCTGTGTTATCAAAGATGCCTCAGACTCCTGGGCTCAGTGATCATCCTGCTTCAGGCTCCTGTGTAGCAGTTCAGGCACACCATGCCATGCCTGGCTCTATTTCACTTTCTTTTTTTCTTTTCTTTTCTCTCTCCCTCTCCCTCTCCCTCTTCCTCTCTCTCTCTCAGACAGGGTCTCACTATGTAGCCCTGGCTAGTCTGGAACTCACACAGGTGCCTCTGCCTCTCTGCGCTCTGCCTCCTGAGTGTTGGGATTAAAGGTATGCACCACCATGCCCACCTTGTTCCTATATTTCTCAAAGTGACAGCTTTGAGCATGACAAAACTCTGAGCACTAATTTAAGAACAAAAGAAGTACATGCTTTCTGGAAATTAATCACATATTATTTTAAACAAAAAGACCCATACCATAAGAACACAATATGTCACTGCCCAGTGATCTCCACTAATGTGATTCCCCAACAGAAACCTGGCAGTGGCCGGAGGCATTTCTGACTGTCATACTGGAGAGGGTGCTGTTGGTGCCTAGTAGATAGAGGCTAAGTACTTCTAGCCATCCCACAATGCTCAGGACAGCCCCACAAGGAATTGCCTGATTAGCAATGTCAGCACAGGGTTAGCATCCCAATCCAAATATCCAAAATGCTCAAAATCTGAACTGACAGCCTTTTAGATTTGGAATCTTCTGATCAGGATGCAAGTGGCAGTCTATGCAAACACTTCAAAAAAGATGGAATCTTCTGATCAGGATGCAAGTGGCAGTCTATGCAAACACTTCAAAAATTCAAGGAAAAAGAAAGATCCAAACTCTGTACTACTCTGTCCCAAGCACTCCGGGTAACGGATGGTAAGCCTGCAGTGCTAGGTTGGAAAACGCTGGTGCACTAGGAAGAGCACAGGCTTTGATGTCAAGATACTCAGACTTAAATTTTGTCTCCTCAAGTTGTGTTATCCTGAGTGTGTGCCTATTTCCTCGTGTAAAACATGAGAACTATTAACACTGTAAGAGAATGTGCCAGGCACATAGCACGTGTTGGCAAATATCAGCTTCTTTCCAACAGGCAGCTTGAGAATCGGTGAGGTTCTCGTTCTCAGAAACCACTTCACAGATGCCAAGTTCACAGACCAGTACTATCTACTTCAACTGTAACTAGACTCAGACCCCAGACCTGTCAGCCTGAGCTGCCAAGAGCTATAACCCAAGCACCCTAGAGGTAGAAATGGGGCAGAGAGGAGGACAGGGCACACAGGACTTGTTTAATCGTCCTCATGACTCCCAACTTTATATTTAAGTGAACACCCAAGAAAGACTCTCAGACCTGGCCTCAAGACATGGTGTCCCAAGGGGCTTGCCAGCCCTGCTGATGGACCAGCAGCCAGAGGAGGGTAGACCAGAAGGGCACAGGCTAGGGGACAGTTCATAGGGTTTCGGGCTTGAGCTTGATTCTGTAAAAGAGGGCCTGGGTTCTAGCTGTTGCATGTATCTACCCCGTGGCCTATTTGGGAAAGACTGACTTGGGGAGCTGCCTAAGACTGGTTTCTCCCATCTCATTTTTCCTAAACCTGGCTCTGCCTCTAGAAGGGCATGGTAGAGCACAGCAAAGCACGGCTCCCTCTCACACACAGCTTTTGTCATAAGAATGCTCTACCCTTTTGTAATAGAGAAAAAATGTTGCCCTCAGTAAAACTTTTCCACCCAGTTTGAGCACATGCTGTCAGGACTCAGCACTAACTGGAAAGCCAGTGTGTCAGATTCCTTTTCTGGAAAATATTTCAAGCCTTTAAACACTGTGAAGTGATTTATATTTGACATACAAAATCCTAACAGAAGAGCAATTCTTCTTGAAACACGGGAAGCACTCAAAAGTTCCAATCAAGAGAACAGTTGACTCCTCTCACTAACAATGGTACTTCTGTTAGTAAGAGCCAAGGTAAGAATTTATTATTTAGTTCCAAGAAATTACATGCCTTTAGTACATGAGGAGGATAATACTTCAAACCTCCTTCATAAAGCCATGATGGGGAGGGAAGCAAGAGTCAATCATTCAGGTAGTTAAAATCAGTAACAAAAAGCAAACCCCCCATATGCTGTCTCAACAGGTGGACCAAAAATATGGAAGCCTCCCCTCCTGACAAACATCATCAAAGAGGCTGCTGAACACACCCATCCACACTGCCACAATGCTACAATCAGCCAATGACCAGAAGCTGGTGGGCCTGAAGAGTTAGAAGGACTCAGCTTTGACGTCAGATGCCCAGGTCAGAGTTATGACTATACTTCCGAGCTGCACGACCTTCCAAGAGTCACTTGACCCTTCTCTAAATGTCTACCTCTGTATTTGTAAAAGGAAGAAGCTACCCATTTTGCAGACCTGGGGGATTCCCCTGGCAGTAGGTAAAGTGCCTGGCTCACAGCAGGGAGAGCAGCAGCTGCTGACATCCCTCCCACCAAGTTCAGAAACACACAGGGCTAAATGCCTCCCTTGCTAGACCTCCTAAAGGTATAGAGAGAGACTATGACCTCTTCCCCTCAAAAGCCTGAGCTGAGGACTTCTGAGTGGTACACTGAAATGTAGGCAAAGAATACAAGACACACCATTAGTCATAAGAAATTGTACAATATGGGGCTAGAGAGGTGGTTCAGCAGAAGACTGGGTTCAGTTGCCAGCACTGAAATGGCAGCCAACACCCATCCATAACTCCAGTTCCACAGCATCTGACGCCCTCTTCTGCCCTCCACAGGGATTGCACAACTCAAGTACACTTACATACATGCAGGTAAAATCACTCATACACATAAAATAAACCAAAAAAAATTTTTAATTAAAATCTCACAATAGGGGGCTGGAGAGATCACTCAGAGGTTAAGAACACCGGTTGTTCTTGCAGAAGACCCAGGTTCGAATCCCAGCACCCACATGGCAGCTAACAACTGTCTGTAACTCCAGTCTCAGTGGATCCGACAGCCTCTTCTGTCCTCCACAGGCATTGTACGACAGTGGTGCACTTACCTACATGCAGGCACTACACTCATACACATAAATTTTTTAAATTTTAAAAAGTCTCACAATAGAAGAGCACTGAATGGTACAAGCTAAGGCAGAAATAACAGCAGTAGCTGTCTTGTGTGTCCAGCACTACACCACAGTTATTTTGGTTCTTATTTCTGCCCAACATTACAGAATAGGTTTTTGTGTGGTTTGGGGTTTATTTCCTAAAAGAGAAAACTGAGTCTTGAAGAAACTAAACAATTTGTGCTAAGATACATAGCTACAAAGAAGTAGATCAAGGCTTGGGACTAAGGTCTATCTCATTCTATAACATGCTATTTGTGTGCCCCCCGCCCATCCCCAAACACAGCACTGTCTCCCATAATATCAGAGTCAGGGAGACTTGAATAAATCACTATTCAGATCAAAACCACCTTTCTTTTTACGTAGGCCAAAAGTTTTTTGGTTTGGGTTTCTTTTCTTAAACTAGCATAATCTCTTCCTTCCCCAAGTCACTTTACAAATTAAAGCTTACAAGGAGGTTGATTTTAAGAATCTGGTTCAATGCCAAACTACGTATTTTAAGGCAACAGAGACATCTTTTGGTGGGTAAGTGAAACTGCAAGGAAGCAGGAGCACTCTGTGAAGGTGCATAACTTTTCAGTGACTTTGTGATCCTTTGATGCTCTAAAGTCACATGGACTTAGCCCACTGACCACAAAAGAAACATCTCCCAAAAGAAAGGCAGAGTTGGGGCTGGAGAGATTGCTCAGTGGTTAAATTCAGTTCCCAACACCCACCTACATGGCAGCTAACCATCTATAACTCCAGTCCCATGGGGATCAGATGCCCTCTTCTGACCTCTGTGGGCACTGCATGTATAGGCGCACTTATCCATGCACCCAAAACACTCATGCACATTTTTTTAAAAAAGGCAGTTATAGCAGGACGTGGTGGCACACGCCTTTAATCCCAGCACTTGGGAGGCAGAGGCAGGCGGATCTCTGTGCATTCAAGGCCAACCTGGTCTACATAGTGAGTTCCAGGACAGCTGGGGCTACAGGGAGACCCTGTCTCAAAATGACCAAAGGGAAAAAAAAAAGGCAGTCAGGGAGCCAGGTGGTGATACATGCCTTTAATCCCAAGCAGGAAGATGCTGACTTTAAGAAAGTCTGGGCTATAAGTTCCAAGCCAGCCTGGGATATAGTGAGACCTGCCTGGAAAAAACTACAGGGGGTGGGGGTGGGGGGTAGAGTCAGGGTCTGTCTCCACTACCTGAAATGCAGTTCAATCTGAATGGAACCCTGGGTGGTACTGCTGCTCTTGGAAGGTTGAAAGATGCAACTAAATACATTGGTCATGCCAGGGCTGGTCTTCTGCCCGGTAAAGCGTGTGTCAAATGCCATCATGGAATGGGAAACCAAGTTAACAGACTTGGTTTGGTTGGAAAAACTCTCATACTGCAGTTTACATTTCTTGAGGTCAAATCTAAAAGGGAAACAAGCAAACAAAAGGTTAACAATCTTATTTTACAAAATTATGAAAGTCCAAGTACATAGCAAGGGCAAAATCACTGCTATATCTAGGCTATATCAGAGTGCTTTCACTCCAAGATCCTGCACTGGTTTTTCTCACAGGCCGCTCAAAATGGAATTAGTGGCACTGCACCCTGGCCTTTTCCAATTTCAAAGAGGTAATCATATCTACAGGAACTCCTAAGGAATAACCATTATCACCCATTTACTTTAGTCTTGATTTATTATCCTTCCCATTTCCTATCCTAAGCCTAAGGAAGCTGTGTATTTACAATAATCCCCAATGGATGTCCAAGGTCTCTTTTGATCTTCATCTGTGAAATCAGAGCTTGCCTGGAGGCTTCTCTCTCCAGTTTCCCTGGATGTCTACATGAGATCACTATAGCTCACTGGAAACAGTCAGAACACATCAAGTCTTCATATAGAAGTAATTCAATTGATCCAACAGAAGTGCATCTGAAATTCCCTGTGTTTTGGGAAACAGAGAAAGCCACACGAGCAATTCCTAATTGTTCAGTAATGTTAGGATGATGCACAAAGAATGCGTTACACGAATCTAACTAGGCTTGATGCTCTGTATTCAAATGTGAACCACCTTTCCGGCCATATAACCCTATGCTGGTAAAAAATAACAAAATAAGTTTAAAAAACAATCTGGGAAACTGAAGTAACAGCTGCTCCACTTTACAGGACTGTAATGAGATCAAAACGGAAAGGTGTAAGTGTGAAAATTCAATGCGCTCTTCAAAGTTGCACTCCAGGTTCAGATACCTATATCTACTCTGGCCACATAAGAGACAGGAGTGAACTGTCAGGTGAGCATTTGGCCAGCAAAAGAGGGCAGCTGCTATGGAGCTGCGAGAAGTTTCCAAGTAGGGACCTGAGCCCACTATTGCCAACACTGTCGATTTATCAAAACAACTAGAACTGTCTCCCTCCCTCCCTCCTTCCTTCTCTCTCTCTCTCTCTTGCAGACTTCACCTACTGCAGACTATACTGCACTCCTGGCCTCTGCTCATGTGGAATGGGCACAGTACTGCATTGCTCTCACTAACAGGAAAATCAGACTTCCTTAAAGCCCTACCTGGCTAGCGAGCCAGAGCCTTCTTTTCCTTTTGGATCTTTGAGCTCCAGACTCACATTCACCATATCAATGAGGAAGCACATGCAAGTGTACACTTCTCCACTCAAAACGGTCTGTAAAAAGAAAATGTTAGTCAACTCTTAGGTGATGGTGCGTGCCAACCTCAAAATGAATTCACACATCAAAAAACACCTAATTTGCTTGCTGTTCCACTTTCTCTCCCCTTTCCCCACCTTCTCAGAGGAATACACACGAGGCGACCATCAACTGAGACTGCACTGGTTAAGAACTTGAGGTCTCACTCACGTGAATTCTTGGATCTTGCAAATCATAAGGCCGCATAAATTCCTCGATGGGCTCTCCCAGGTTGTTCTCCAGTAAGCCTCGGATCAGCTTGTATTTATACAGATCCAGGGAGCAGTGGACTGAGGAGAGGCTGCCATGGATAGATATGTCTGGAACAGTATGACTTATTTCTCTGAAAAAGAAAGACAGTCACCTTCAGAAGCAATTCACTAACAGCCTTGGCAACAACCAACACCCAAATATAAGAGCTACAGTGTCTCCACAAGCACTGACCAGTTCATTTCTAGCAAAAAATGGCCAAAAAGCCATGTATCGCCAAATGAATCAAACCAGTATGACCGCCATGTTACAATTACAGAAAGACCCTTTTCCCCAACTTATACGACTAGAAAATCCCCAAGTCCAATGAGTCAAATGTGCTAAGGATCTAGCTAGAACCCCTTGCCTGGGAGGCATGGGCCCTGGGTTCTGTCCCCAGCACCGTATACAAACACATGAAAATATGAGCTAACAAGGTAGACTGACTGTTTTGAGACAGTCTCACACTGTAGCTCAGGCTGGCCTGGAACTCTCAGCAACCTTCCTGTCTCAGCCTTCCGAATGCTGGATTACAGGCATAACCTGTAACTCAGAAAGAGCTTAAACACTACAGTTAGGAAAAACAATAAAGACCAGGTGCCAAGCTCTTAACTCTTCAGCTCATGGAAACTGAAAGAATCGAGGCCAGGCAGGACATTGATCACCATAAAATCTAAACCAGTTGCTTGTCCACTGAGATGAGTAGGAATAAAACTGAAGACACCCAGGGCTTCCCAACGTACTGCCTCATGCCAGTACGCAATAGGCACTATGGGTCCTACAGACACTATGCTCTGAATATATGAACTAGGGGTTAGAATTTAAAGTAGTAATATGTACACACACACACACACACCCCAACTTAAAAAAATAAATTAAAAAAAACCTGCTTTGGGGCTGGGGATGTTGCTCCATGTTACAGTGAGTGCTTGCCTCACATGTACTAAGGCCCTAAGTTTGATTTTCAGAACTAAAACAATAAATAATAAATACATAAGCAAATACGTTGTACTTGTTTCCAAGGAAGAACCAACTTAAAGTTTTAAAAAATCAACACCATGCTCAGCAAGGGCAGAGCAGGAGGCATGGCCGAGTGCTCAGGGCCTTCTTCCTGGGCTACAGAGCCACACATCCCACATAGTACCAGAGGGAGTGGGAGGAGCTCAGATGAGCAGAGAAGCAAAATGCTTTTTTCAAAAACCATTGCTTGAAAAGAGAACAACGTGTTCAATTTCTAAATAACAAGTTCCTCTTAGGATGGTCAAGCCAGTAATGCCAAATACAGCCCATGCCAACCATAACTGAGCACTGGCCAGGAGGCCCTTGAACAACAAGTCCCAGTGAAACACAAACATCCCATGAGGATGGCTAAATTGTAGCATTCTTCCAGCGAGAAGCTGAAAAGTGACATGAAGTCACCCAAGCCTAGGAACTGGAGAACAGTGGCCAGACACCATTAAACTCACACTCCACGGAGGTGACACAGCTACTCCTCAAAGTGCCCCATTGCTAAGATTTATTTTACTTTTATTCATGTGTTTATGTGGTGTCTCTGTGTGTATGCCCCATGGGTGCAGGCACCTGTGGAGACAAGAGGGTGTCAGATCCCCTGGAGCTGGAGTTACAGGCAGCTGTGAACTGTCTGACAAGAGTGCTGGGAACAGAACCGGGGCCCTCTGGAAGAGCAGCAAGGCTCTGAGCCATGTCTCTGGCCCTGGCTCCTCTTTTATTACCTGTCTAGCCATACTTCACCTTTCCCTGGAGTTAAGATGCAAAGTGCTCCTGGGTTCTACCAAACCAAAGCCCCCCATGAAAGATGTCACACGCTGTAATCATGCTTCAAGTGTGTGGACCACATAAGCAGGAAACCTCCCCCAATGCTGCGACCTTACTTAATATACACCTAAGCTTTGGCCCTAAGAGTCAAACTCTTCCCAGGTAGTTATGGAATTAATGACAACTGAACCTATGTTCTGAACTTCAGAGACAAGCTTCCTGCATTTGAGGCTAACTAAGGAATAAATCAGGGCTGGGCCCTTAGTCTTCCCAGAGCACTTTCAGTCTGCTTCCTAGAGTGGAAAGGGCAACACTACATCCGAACAGTTATGCAGCTTTAATGGAGATCCAGGCAGAATAGCAATGGCGGGTCCAGAAAGTATTATGTTTGAAATACTTACTCCAATGCCCATCTTTCCCAAATACTTCGCCTGCTCTCACTACTTCCTGACCACCACCTAAGTCCATGTCAAATTTGAACCCTTTCCTTTTGTTCCCAGGAAAGCTGTTTTGTAATTGTGCAACACAGCTGCTGAATCAAACACACTTAGAGTCACCTACCCACCCTAGTACATCCCTTAACAAAACAAGCTCCTCGAGGGTAGCATTTTCTCTTTCATTACAGAGGCCCCTGTGACTAGCACACAGTAGGGACTCAATCAACATTCATTACCAATGTGCTCCTCCTGACTTGTCTTAACAGCAATGATTCCAAGCTCCTAAGATTTCCATGTTATTCAGATAAAACACTCACTTGTCCAAATTCCTTTCCACCTGCAATTTCAGCCTACAAGGCTCAGTTAAGAGACTTCCTCCTGTCTGTCGCACAAAGTAGGAAGGGAAGATCAGGTCCCCACTTCTGTCCTCTGAGGCTTTAGAGAACTCCTGTGGGCGTCTCTCTGCAGCAAAGATGTCCATGTCCTGCAGATCCACCACAATGCAATCCAGCAAGCAGATGTGGTCTTCTACAAGGACGCAAGGAAAAAGAGGTAAGGACAAAAATAGAAACAAACAGGGCTCCACTGAGCAAAATTAAAAGTACAACTCAGTTCGTTCTGTCTTTGAAAACATTTAGAATTGGCTATGTTCTCTGCTTTGCACTACTCAGAAACCTGGTTGTCCAGAGGTTTCCACTGTGGGGTGTTCATCTGTCCACGGATCTATCTATCAAACACACTCAGAACCTCCCTCAGCTGCTGTACTTTGTTGCAGGAAGACCAACCATCCTGAACTCTGTGGTTCCTCACATTCTGCCTCCCACTCTAGCTCCTCAGGATAGCACCTCACTTTCCAGCACAGCATCTGTCTATAACATGCTAAAACAATCAAAGAGCCAAAATTAGGCCCATCAATGGAATGACCAATTGTCACATTCAAAAGAGCATTAGCTGGACGTGGTGGCACAGGCCTTTAGTCCCAGCACTGGGAAGCAGAGGCAGGCGGATCTCTATGAATTCAAGGCCAACCTGGTCTACATAGTGAGTTCCAGGGCTGCTGGGGCTACAGGGAGACCCTGCTTCAAAAAGACAAAAAA